GCAGAGGGAAAACCCCACCAGCTCTTTTGGGAAGAGAGAGGGGTTAGGGACAAGGTGGTCCTCCCAGAAGAGATGTGTGGTCACAGATCTGGCACAGGGCTGCTGGCTTTGGGGGAGCAGTCTGGCTGTACAGCCCATGTGCAAGACACGGCGTGTGCCGGGCAGGGCTGCAGCGAGTGCTGCTTGTCCAGCTCACCATCCCCTGAGCCCCAGCTGCAGGGTGGCTGAACTCGCTTCTGAGGGCTGTCTGTAGCTACCCAAGCTAAAATACATTTTACAGCCCAAGAACAACTTTTCTATTCCTAAATAAATACCAATTTACAGAAGACCCAAATCAGCTATCTTCCAAGCATGTCTTTCAGGCTTAAAAGACAGTGTCAGGTATAAAGATGGTATCATACAAATTTAAAAAAAAAAGAAATGAAGTAAGGGTAGCACAAATATTTCAGTAAAGGTGCAGAAAACTCTCAGGTTTGAATAGTGCCATCTAAATATTTCCTTGCATCCTTGAACTGTTGCCTTCTTCCTCTTGGAAAGGGCAATATCAGTAATCTCTAATGATTCACGGTAAAGGATACAGGCCCATTACCTGCTGTGGTTTCCTAGAATGGAGAGAATAAGCTACCCTGTTATCATGGTGCCTAGCACTAACGATGAGCCATGCAGTTAACATTCAGGGGATTGCTTACTGCTCAGATAAGCAGCTCTGAACTTGCCTTTAAAGAAGGCTGAAAGACGGCACTTTTTTTCCCAACTGAATACACACAGATGGTTTTCTACTCCAAAAAAAAATGTAATTTGTCAGAAAAATGAGCAAGAAGGTATATTATTTCTGCCAAACCATGCATAAAAATATAATGTTTCTGGGTTTTAACTATAACATTCATTCCACACAAATCAAACTACTTGGGAGAATCAGGATTACACATATCAATAACAGATTTCCTGTTTTCTTGTTAGGTGAATAGACAGGCTTTGAATTATTATTTGTTTCTTTCTTTCTTTCTTTAAAAAAATAAATTAATTACTTTATATGTTATTTGGTGGATATTTTAAAATAAATATTTGAATCAAACAAATATTTTAATAAATAAATATTTGTGTTTAAAAGTACAACTCTTCCTTTCCACCATCTGGTATGTTTTCTTGCCTACAACTATTATGGCCATGCAGCAGAATCACACCCCTTTGATTTTTCATATTTAAACATCTCCTGAAAATCAATAGTTGGAAACACTGCAACACAAATGCCCCTCATAGACAGAGCTGAGGAATCCAGAATTCTTTACCTGGTGTCAGTATTAGAAAGTTTCTCTACTTTTTGATTCTTTGTGGTGAATTTCCAGTCCTACAAGAAAAAAATTTTTGAGCCAAACTGCACTGAATAATCCTAAACTAAGGTAAGAACTGCTGAAAGCTGTGATTTACTTGGCATCTTCATCTCCCACTACATTCAAGGGGAGCAAAGGGAATTCAGGAGTCTCAGAAAATTTAAATTCCTAATGAAGAACAATGCTTTATCCTATTTAATTTCTCCTGAGAAAGAATAGACATAACTCAACATAAGCATGGACACAACTCAATAAAGAATCATAGAATGGCTTTTGTTAGAAAGAACCTTAAAGATCATCTAGTTCCAAGTCCCCTGCCATTGGGGGGACTTTCAGTACCTTTCAGTAGACCATGTTTCTCAAAGCCCCATCCAACCTGACCTTGAACACTTCCAGGGATGGGGCATCCACAACTTCTCTGGGCAATCTGCTCCAATGCCTCCCCACCCTCACAGTAAAGAATTTCTTCCATATATCTAACCTAACTCTTTCAGTTTGAGCCCATTAATCCCATAACTCACAACAGTTTCTCCTGAAGAGGCCCTCCCTGGCTTTCTTGTAGTCCCCCTTCAGATACTGGATATATCCCTGTTCAATATTAGTTTTGCACTTCACACCAATTCAGCTAATGGCAGCTATGTGTTTTTAATAACTCTCTGACTGCAGTAAACAGCAATACTGCCCCAGGGTGTAACATACAGTATTCTGACCCAGAGACCATTTTTCCCACACACAACCTGCATACAGTGGAACATGACACAACTGCCACGTGCCAGACGTGACAGAGAAGAGTGAACCCAAAGGAATATATGGTTCAAAGGGAATTTCACGTGTCCGGTTATAAAGGTGTCCGTGTTGACCCAGCCAGAAAATTCTTCAGCCTCCCAGTAGCCAGGCATTTCAGGGACACTGTCTTTCAAAGCACTGAAATACAGCATTCCTTAAACAACGTGGTTTGAGTCACTGTTGTAATGCTCCCTGTGCTGATGGAGAGAGCAGAGCTGAGAAGTGGGTGCAGAGCCACTGCAGGGTCACAGCCAGGGACTCTCCCCACCAAGGACTGCAAAGCTTCCCAGGACCTGGCAGTACCTGAGGGCACAGTGCTGCAGTCACCTGCCAGGCTTATATCCTGGGCACAGGTTTTCTTGGGTTATATCTCGGGCACAGGTTTTATCTTGGGCACTTCGAAAATTTATAAATTAAATGCCACAGACAACACTCCAAGTTGAAAGAATCAGCACTGCAGCTGTGCCAGCAAACACTGCGAGAGCTCAAGATAAGGGATCAGACTGCTGCAGCAGTGTAAAGTACATCGTGTTTTTGAAATCAAGGTAATGAGACAAGGAGTGAGAAACAACAACAACAAAATTGCATCTGCAAATATTTCAATTACATGCTGGGATATTTCAGAAAATTTTCTTGAATCTGCCTTCCCTGACCCCAACTGCTGCATTGTATTTTTTTCATTATTTTAATATCAGGGTGAGATAGAAACAATTCCAACCTCAGTTTTGCTCTTCCAGTAGTATTAGAAAAAGAATGCAAGTTTGTGAAATACATTTCAGAATACTTTTTGCAAGGAACCTTTTTCAGTGGATTTTTTTTTTCCCAGAACCACCTAATTGTCTTAAAAATATTAAACAGAGGGGCCAGGATCTGAGTAAAATGAAGAATGTTAGTGAAAACTGACATTTTGTTTGAAAAAAACCCTTGATCTAATTTGCTAAATATTGAAAGAAGTTGGAGGTATCTTAGATTCTGATGAAATGATTGCATGGAACCTCCCCTAAATGTATGCCTATCAGCCTCAAAAAGAAAGTCAAAAGGAATGACAGAATAACAGAATCATTAAGGTTGGAAAGACCTCTAAGATCATTAAGTCCAACCAGCAGTGCCAAGTGCATCACTAAATAATACTGAGTAAATTAAGCAACAGCGAGGCTGTGACACATGCGGACACTTGCAGCTGCATTTCTGGAAAGCACTTTCCAGATCAAAACCATAACCATCTTTCCTGTCCTTGGAGGAGTCACAAGCTCCTTTAGGAAGAAAAGGGTAAACTCGATAGCACTTATTTAAATCTAGAGTGCTGTATCTTCATAACTCTCCTGTGTTCAAAACAGTATCTTTCTCGGGGAGGCAGGGTCGGTGTTCAGCTTAGCCCTAAGGGAGTTATAACAATGCTCTTTTCCCCATATTTATGATTTTCTCATTTTTATGATTCATGATTTATGATTATAGCCCCTTCCCTCAGAAAAAAAAATTCAGAAACTTTTGAAGTCTCTTGTTGAGCAACAATAATCTCTTGTTTGTTATCGAACAGAGGACACATTGTGTAGCACAGTTGGTGTGGCTGTTGTTGAAGTATTTAACTCCTGCTTGCATTTGATGAAATTCTTACAAGTCTGAAGAAAATATTTAGTAAAAATACCTGAGGTCAAATGAATTTTGCTCATTTTGTCATAAACATGTCATAAACATAAACATAAACATAAAAATGTCATAAACAGCTCAAAGCCTGACCAAACTCTCTGAAATAGTCACAGACTGGGCTTCTGATACTATATGTGGCTTCTTGTTAAAGATTAGGGGAAGCACTGAAAATTTTAGTACATGAGGACCTCAGATAGCTCAGTAAATTGAAATTAACACCACAGTGACACAGTCAGCTGAGCAAGGGACTTGACTCATCTGTAAAATAACACTATCACATTCGTTTTTAGGCTGATTGGGGTGTGGGGACACTTACAACTGCAACAGGGGGTGACACAGGTGGTAGTGTCCAGGGGTGGTGGGAAATATGACAGTATTGCCCTTAGCAGCACATCAGCACAGTGGTGTGGCCACATCCTGAGCTCACTTACCTGCGTGTGCAACCTCACCCAGAGGGCAAAAGGGAAAATCAGCTGAAGTTTTCAGAGCTCTGCCTTTGGCAACATAGCCCTTGTGAGTCCTTGGAGACAGCAGCTCCCACCAGCATCTCAAAGCAGCTGCAGATGCAAGGCTGAATGCTTTTACACTGCACACGTGATTTTTTGTACATACAGAGCAAACCCAACACAAAGTTTTACTGGCTTTCATTTATCCTTTGCTGTGGTAATGAAAAGGATCATCGTCAAAAAGAATGAGGGCCATTAAAAACTCAATATTCCGCTACAGGGATTGGTTTATGGCCTCATTTTGGCAGCAGTTTTCTTTATCAGGTGTGCAGCTTCATTGCCTGTCCTATGGCCCACATGCTTCAAGAGTTTGTTATCTGCAGGACACTGTGCTCCTGTTTCCAGAATAGATGGTACCTGGCACAGGAACTGTTCTGGGGTGAACATTACAGAAGACCTGATTCTCCAACCTGTTAGCCAGTTTTGGCACTCTGTCTCCACAGAATTTTGTGGAGATAGAAGGAAAAAAATATGGGTTGGAGATCAGACCTTGCATTGCTGATAGCTTTTACTGAAAGAGTGTTTTACACAGCACTGCTACATGAAAAATAGCTGTACTTGATTTTCTGTTATTGCCCGCCGTTAAACAAACCCAACTAAAGTTTTGTGGTACCCCTTAGGTGATGAAACACTCACTATCTCACACCTTGAAGACAGAAATAGCAAAACAGTAATGCTTGGAAATCACCCTGTTGTCTCCTCCACAACATGGTAACAGCTCACACATTTGAAAACTTTAAACATATTCCAACTCACATTTATTCATGTTACTGCTTTCACACTGATGTGGTGCAAGATACTATTACTTTCAGATGGGGCCACTGACATGCCCCAGTAAACTGTTGATACGTTTTATACCATGAATTAATACTGTACTCAGAACATTAATAAATACTTGAAAAGTCTGTAAATGACCTGCAGTGAACTCCTTTGTAAAAGTATTTACCTTATTTAAATGGATTTATTTCTATGTCAAAATATATTTTACCATGAACTGATGAATGAAAGTGTTCTGACAAATTGTGTGCACCTGATATGGTCTTTGTCACTGCTGTAAATCTGCATGAGTTTGGGATTGAGCAGAAAGTGATGAAGATTCTGCAGAGCCAAACAATATTTGATCTTAAGGTGCTCATTTTGCTCTCAGTAGAAGCAGCAGGTCTTGAAGCAACTTCTTGCAGCACTTCCCAGGGACCTCCCGTGGGCTGGTGCTCAATGATCTGATGCTCTGATGATGCCTCAGTCCAGGGTGAAATGTTGGATACTTCAACCTCAGTCCAAGATGAAATGTTAGATGCTTCAAGCTCCTCTGAGTTCTCTGAGCACATCAGACCTCCTTGCATCCATGTGTGCCTTCGTGTGTGTGCTACTCACTGCCCCCCCTGGAACAAAGTCAAGCTACCGTGCTAAGTATATGATATGGTGGTGCCTGACTGTGCCCTTTAGACATAGCCCTCGTGGCAAAGGTGGTTGCCATTGATAAGGCTGAAGGTGGCCAGGGAATGGTTGGTACTCTTGAGGGAGGTCATTCGTGTGGTGCTCCTGGCCATGCTCTGGGACCGGATTAGGAGGCGAGCTCTGCAGCAGAGCAGCTGGTTGTTGAACTGTTTCCGAAAGCTCTTGCTGAGCAGGTAGAGAGCAAATGGGTTGACACAAGAGTTAGTGAAGGCCAGGATCCGGGCACAGATGCTGGCAATGAAATGCAGCACGGAGGTGTCCACCTCGGAGTAGTGGTAGGACCGGTACAAGTAGACGATGTGAGTGGGAAGCCAGCAGAAGGCAAAGAGGCACACGAAGACCAGCACAGTCTTGGCCAGGCGCTTACGGGATTCAATCTGGAAGAAGAAAGAGAGATGCAGATTGGCTGCTATTCCTAGCTCAGACCAGTAGCTGACAATTTTTACCAGCACTGCAGGTTTGAGGCTAGCCCATGGCAGGTGGGATGTCCAGAGCAGGGAAATCTGGACTGCAGGTGAACAGAGTCAAGAACTCTCCTCAACTCCCTTCCCTTAAAACCAAATAATTCTGAAAATTTATTACATAAGAAGTAGTCTTTCCTGTTTAGAGAAAAAATTCCATTGACTTGTCAGTTTGCAAAATCCCAGCTCAGGCAACAAAAGTGTGGACATTTGCATTAGTTATCCACATATAATATATACAATCATATGCAATTTTAATATATTACTTTATTAGTAGTATTATTATTATAATTAATTATCGGGTTGGAGTCTGGGATTTTTCACAGAGCCCAGATGCAGGACATTCTGCCATGGGGCCATGTGGTATATGTACACAAAAGTGCTGTCAACAGCTTACAGCCCTTTGAGATCAAGTGCAGCACTCAGAGTCTGAAGGAGATGGAGAAACAGAGAAAGGATATTCTGTACTTGGGGAAACACCGAGGCAGTGGCAAGGTGGATCCTTCAGCTGAAAGCACTGGAGCCACCAGGAGAAGACAGATACAGGTGGTGAACAGATGAATGAACACCTCTGAGCACAATTTGAGCTTTGTCAGGGAAAGGTGCTTTTACAAAGCCAGCTAACACGCAGTACAACCTTCATGCACACAGGACACACTTTTGTTTTACTTACTTCTACATGCTTGGAGTCAACCCAAAGGTATTGCTCAACCGAGGGGAGCTGAGGTAAACCATACCTTGTCTTTTGTCCACAAGTGCTGCACACTAGGCCAAAGAAGGGCAATGAGGCTGGTGAAGGGTCTGGAGCACAGAGAAGTGGCTGAGGGAGCTGGGGTTTTTAGCCTGGAGAAGAGGAGGCTCGGGGAGACCTCATCACTCTCTACAACTACCTGAAAGGAGGTTGTAGCCGGGGGGGGGGCGGTCTCTTTTCCCAGGCAATCAGCAATAGGGCAAGAGGGCATGGTCTTAAGCTGTGCCAGGGGAAGTTCAGGTTGGACATTAAGGAAGAAGTTCTACACAGAAAGAATGACCGGGCATTGGAATGGGCAGCCCAGGGAGGTGGTGGGGTCCCTGGAGGTGTTTAAGGAAAGACTGGATTTGGCACTGAGTGCCATGGTCTAGTTGACAAGGTGGTGGGAGGTCATAGGATGGACTAGATGGTCTTTTCCAACCTAGTTGATTCTGTGATCTCTCTTCCTAATGAACACAAAAGCCATGATGGAGGTTGCCCAAAAGGAGAGGACAGACAGAGCTGCTCAGAAATGTACTGCTCTCTGGGAGAGGTTGCACAGCCAGAGTTTGCAGGATTGGAAAGTATAACACTGCTGACTTTTTAGGGCTCAGTAATGTTCTCCTCTCTGGCAATCCCTGCAGCTCTTTACAGGTGCTCCTAGGGAATTTGTTGCATCCCACTCCCTGTATTTAAGTAGGACCCGGATGACCTGAAACTGCTGTATAGCCCCAGCCCCACTGCCCTTGCTCCTGCCCTAGTGCAGCTACAGTGCCTGGCCAGACTCCGGGGACACTTTGCTATCCTACCTCCCCTTCCAAGCTGCACAGCTAAATCAGAAACTGAGCATCTTACACAGGCTGATCTTTCCTCAGGGCAGCTGCAAGCAGGAAGCGGGCACGAGAGACTTGACAAGCCAATTTTGACTTTATTTGGTGCCCTTTTAATGGCACTGACCGAAAATCAGCCATTGAGCTTAGGGAGGATTGACATGTACCAGGTGATAATGTCTCCAGAGAACGGGCTGAAAATTAAATCCTTTGAGAAAGGGCTCTCCTTGGCCAAACCATATATTCTTTTTAAATGTATGCTTAATTTGATATAGGGCTATTGAGGCCACATCTGCACTATAAAGAAAGGAAGCAGTGCAATAAAGAAATCGATACCAGTTATCTCAGATGGAGACCTATAGCTCTTGAATGCACTGCAGGACAGGAATGATGGACTGAGGGTGCTAGACTGCAGCCTGGCCTTTTGCTTTCTTTAGAGCTCTCTCCCCAAAACCAAAGGGTGAAAGGGCTGCTTTTACTGCTCAATTATTGTCACTAATCAAAACAGCCATCGGATCAGCGGAGAAATGGCCTGCAGGGGAGAAAGATTTACACACATTCAGAAGGGGAAAAGGACAAGGATTTCAGAGATTGCACCTTATTTGATGGGCAAAAAACAAGTCTTTCCAGGCCTACTGCTTCACCATAGCACCTGAAAGCTATGTGACATGATTGTGTTGGGTCAGCCTAAGGTGGAGGTGTCAGCTGGGTGCAATTGTGTGGACAATTGTTCAGCTGAAGAACAGCTTGTGTCAGTTTAGCTGAGGTTGAAGCACACCTCAGTTGAAAGGAAGAGGTGAGACAAATAAGATAAATATGTCAAGGTCAATAAGCTGTTTAGAAACAGGCAAGGCTTTATCCAAGGTCCTCTCTCTGACAAAACAACTTTCAGAGGTTTTGATTTTCTCCCATGTCACCCCTCTGATTCAATCTCTAAACACTGTATCCAGCTCTGCCTCTTTCCCTGCATACCAGTCAACACCTTTCCAGGCTTTGGCATGGGTCTCCTGCTATGCTTGCCGTGGTAACCACTCTGCCAAAGTCTCTGAACTTAGAAATAGGAGGTGATGCTTTAACTGTTTAACCCTATGTCATGGCTTCTTTCAACCATTTTAATTCTTTTACCCCAAGTAATCTATTAAAATTAGCACAACAAATGCAGTCTGTTCCAGTATAAATTTCTCTGTATTTCATCTTTCCTCCCAGATTCAAAGAGAATGTGGATTTTTGAAGAAAGTCAAATCTCTACCTGTTTCCTCACATGCACATTTCCTTCCACGGGGATGTTGTAAGCACTCCGGATCAAATTCTTAGCAATAAAATAATAATATACTGAAATTACAGATAGGGGAATGATATAAAATATGAGAAATGATGCCATTGAATGAATTTTGGGATGTAGCCCATCTGAATGAGGGTAAGGAGCACAGCTGATGAAGGTTTTATTAGTCCCTTTGTCATGGAAAGGGTGCAGATCTGAAAACACTGCTTCAGGGATGGCAAGCAACATGGATACAATCCAGATTATAGCAGCTCTCACACAGATCTTCATCAGTGCATGGGATGCTTGGATCTCCATTGGCCTTACTATAGCTTTATACCTAAAAAAACAAACAAAAAAGGAAATAGTTTATTGACCTCAACATTCAGGCACTGTATTGCTGCTTTTCCCTTTCATTCAGAAATAAAAACACAAATGAAAGCCTCCTTTACTGAAGACTGATTTCTTTTCTGATGTTTTAAACTTCAATGTTTTCAATAGATTTCTCATTTTAAACCAGAGCCACCTGTCATGGGTCCATTGAGTTTCACGTGTATTGATTATGAGTTCATTTAATTTGCAATCGACCCAACAAAGCACAGTGCTGCCTGACATTAACATGTAAATTAATATTAATGACATTAATATGTGTCCAAATAGCATTAAGACAGGAAGTGCAATCATAGACTTCTCTTCAAAAGCATACAGCAGCTTTCACAGAATAGTATTGACGGAAACTGGGTTGAGATTCTGCCACACGTTTCAAGCTGTAAGTGTGCTGGCCTCCTGCAAGCCACAGCTTATTTTTAGTCAAGCTACAAAGAGCATATTGCGTGTTTTAATTGCTATTTGGTGGTGCAGCTGGCAAGAGTTGTCCCTAACTCAATGCACTCAGATTAAGTAGCCAGAACTACTAACTGAGTTTCTTGCAGAAAAAAAAATTATTGCTTGCTATGCTAGATATGTAGAAGACATTTCTGATTTGAAGTTTTGTCTTTCATTATTTCAGCCTTTCAGAAAATTGTACTTTAGAATCCAAGAAAATCATAGAATCAAACTTATTTGAAGTTGATGTGTGTAATGAGAAGAATGGAAAACATCAGAGCTTCATATACGCCAGAGCCCTGCTCTGGCAGGAGTTCACACTCCAAGTAAACCACAACTCACATATGCATTTAAGAAACATGGTAGAAAAAAAAAAAAGATAATTAGGAAGGAATATCTACAGGTTCCCTAAATTAGTATTTAGGGTCATCATCATACCAGTTACAAACCGTAGGATATTTCTGCCAGGATCTACCTCACACTGCCTGAAGTGCATTTGGTACCCCCTTGGTCAGCCAAAACCCATGCTCTGGGGACACTTCATGATTCCCCACTTACTACAGTCTGCATTATCTAAGGCTAAACATTTGAAGGAGGAGCCTATCAGTCCCACACTGTTTTAGCTGGGTAATTGCTTCAATTGCAGGATAAGCATGAATTCAGTGTCTGATTATATGCAATATCCTGCTCAGCACACCTACCCTTTCCCTCTATGTAGGTATGATTGTGTCTACATATCTCTGAGTATATTTTATATACATAAACATATTTATATCTACAGATGCATGTATATACATGTAAACATAATTACATACATATTTCCATTTACTTATACTTATTTTTATAAAGACTGTATCTGGACATTTTGTCATTTGCAGATGTTCCTTCATACAGATGTCTTGTGTAGTTGATTTTTTCTTTCATGTACTACAGACACTTTGCTCAACAGTTTGCTGTTTAACCACTTATTCTCCAAGCTCTACAGCTCCCCTTTAATCCAGCTATGCAGCTGCAGTGGCCAGACACAGTATTAAGGCTTGCTTAACACCTCTTTAACTTGCACTCTAAAACTCGGGATTAAGTGGCGTCATACTACAAAGCACAACCTTCCAGCACCAGATTACAATCTCAGGTCAAGAAAATCATGGCACAAATATGGTGCTACAGCTATTGCAGTAATAGAACAGAAGGTAGATTACTAAAACAGTGTTGTTGAAATAGCTTGATTTACAGTCTAACTGACCAGATATAGATTATTGACAGAAACACTAGCTAACTGAAAATCTTCACTAAACCTTAAGGAAGAGAAATGCAGAAGGAAATTAATAATATATCAAAGTATTAAATTTAGTTAATGCAAAGGTTTTTCTGCAGATGCTTATTGTATGTGTATCAACATAGCATGTTAGCATGATTATTTCCGGGATTTTCTTATAAAATATAGCCAGTTGAGACAGTATTTTACAGCATTAATTTCCAGGAACTTGTATAAGTTAAAGAATACAGAGAAAGAGAAACTCTGTTTAATTTTTATTAACACTAACAGAGCAGGGGAAGCCAGAAAATGAATCCGTTTCAAGTTATTAGTATATTTTAACTAGAGATGGCATTTACAAACAATGTAATTTTGAGAGAACATAATTAGAAATGGCTAGGAATGCTGGCACTGATTACTAGTGTGCTGGTTTAAAGGTAAACTGGCAGGGGAAAATGAACCCAACTCAAAGGAGTCAGAATAACAATTTAATAAAAATAATACAATAAATACAATTATACAGACAAGCAATTGGTTTTAACCCACAAAACCCAAATGCATAACCCGGCACCCTGGGGAATGAACAGAGTGGTGTTCTTTGGGCCCCCTGAGTCCAAAGTAAAAGGAGAGGGAAAACCTGCTGCTGAGAGTGCTGTTGCAGTCCAGTCGAGAGTGGTGGTTGCAGTTTGGTGGAGAGTGGTGGTCTCAGTCTGGTTGAGAGTGGTGGTCACAGGCCTCCTCTCGATCCCACGAGTAGTACCAGAAGTCTCAAGACCCCAAGATTATATATCCTCAGGTACAGGCAGGAATGCCCAGTACCTCCCTCAGGGCGGGGAGTTCCACAATGGGGATGAGGACAGGAGCATCCTCCTATCTTACAGGCCTCTTAACACCCAGTTTATAGCCTGAGAGGTCAGGTGTGCTCTGGGCAGCTGCTGTAATGGTCTATTGATAACAGTTTCTGGGAAATGGCATGGAAGACTATAGAATACACAGTTTTGGGTTACACCCACACAGTGATGAGCTGGTCCCAGATGTTCTAACTAGGACAACTAGATGTTTAGTTTATTTTTAAAGTCTCCTACAGCTGATAAAGGAGAAGATCTGACAGAGGTTTTGCTTCAGTGTACACTTAAAGCATGAGGGTGAAAGAACAGAAAGATAAAACAGAAGAAAAAAAGCTAGAAAATAGGTTTTGAAAATGTATATTCTCGGGTGCAGAAACACAGGGAGATATTATCTTCATAGCCTGACAATGAAATCAAATTATTCTGCTGATTATTTACATGACTTCTTTGATGGTGGGTTAACTTATTCAGAAATCTTCAATAATCTCCATTAGTCTCTGAGTATTAAAGCTTGATTGATCAGTATTGATCTGGTGGGAGTCTCCATTTCCAGTCACCTTGCTGATGCATCAATGGGTCCCTCCTCAGCTTGTGTCTCAGCAGCAATTCCCCCTCCCCTGCCAGCTTAGGTTCTGGACAGCAGCTACTGTCTGCAGTAAGGGCACAGGGGGTGGGGGCTACACATGAGGAATTGGACCCCTCGGCTGGTGCTTGGGCTAAGACACCACTAGGAGGTTTTCCTCTGGTCGGTGTTCAGGGGGTGAAAAAGCTGCAGCTCCTGGTTGGTTTCTGACTGGGGCTCAGAAATGCCTTCATTCCTTTACTTTCCTGCACCACCTTCCTGGGAGGGTCAACCTTGACTTTTATAATTTATTTGACATTTCTTAAGAACTTCATCAAGGTAGACTGGATTTGAGCAGCAGCTCATTCTGCTTTTCAGCACATATATTTCCAGTCTGTATGTCAAATAAAAATTCAAGCTCTCCACAGCTTTGTCCTCTGCAATTTCTTTTTCAATGAGTTAGCCTGAGGCACATAGCACATAACTTTACCACATTTAACATCCAGCATGTGAATATTTCTATCCACTTTGAAGGGGACATTGATGAATATGCCTATATACCTCAGTGGAGCCACGGACCTACATGGCCAGTCAAGCAAGCTTTCGTGCAAAGGTCTTATCACAGCATTATTTTTAACCCATATAGTAACATTGGCTCAGGCAGTACGTGTCACATGTTCAACTTGTCTGCAGTAAATCTGGACATGGCCCTGGATTTATCACCTCACATTCAGCCTCTCATTATTGTTTAATATATTTATTTTTTTTCAGCTGAACTCCTTTCCGTATCCGTTTTTAAAGAAATTTTTGAAAAAGATTATAAACCAGAGGTAGGATTCATGCCCTACAACAAAGGCCAAAACTTAAAAATATGCCTTCTGAAGATTCAGCTGAATAAAAAGAGATAGTCAAGAATTCATGTCAACTCCAATCTCTCTCCAGTTGTCAAACAGCCCAGATGAAAATGATGGATTGATGATCTGATCGGAAATATGAAAGAGATGCTGACCTTTACTACTGCCCAGTCTTTGAATTTCTCTGTTCCCCCTGTGCTTGTGAAGCAGCAACCTGCTGCATGCACTGCAGCTGCCTTTGGGCCAGGATGGATGCCAATCATCTCCATGCCTCTCAGTCTTGTTCAAAGGAGCCCACAAAAAGAAATTACACGTGGGGCACTCTTAAGTGCACTTAACATAACTGCAGTTCCTGAGGCACCATGATGCACCCTGTAGGGAAATCCTCTCCTACACCAGCCACAGTCACCGCTCTGGTGCTGTCCCAGGTCAATCTCCAGGCCTCCAAGAGGAAGCTGGTGAGAGGGTTGCTTCAACCCAGAATGCCTGATCACTTCCTAAACTAATCCTCAAAATTCATTGTGGATTGGTAAGATCTCACAGAGCATGTGCATGTCCACTGAATCCTTGGAAATGTATTATATACATCTCTTAGGATCTCTATCGTACTTTTTGAGTAATTGTTTCTCAGAGCTGAAACTACTGAAATGACCATAAACCACTAAAATGTGGTACACCAAAGGTCTTTCTGTGGTAAATACTTTTTACACTGAGGTTAATATGACAGGCAAATAGAAAACTATGTCATTATCCTTGTGTTAATAATAATATAACTAATGATAGCATCACCTAATGTACTCTAAAACTTGGACTATGCAAACATCAGTTAATACCGTGTACTTAGCCCCAAAGCTGCAGCTTCAAATATAAGCACAGAAGTAGCTTTACCACGGAAAAGACAGTTCCAGGTATACTCTCCAAAGACACAGATCAAAATAAGGCCCCAAACAGATGTCAAAATTTCCTAGGAGCAGTTTCTCTACTGGCACAAAATAC